GCCTGCACTGTGACACGATCAGCGACGCTGTAACACACCTCGCCTTTCAGGTCACGAGTTGTCACGGCGAAACACGTTTCTTCTCCAACGAAAGATTTCCCGAGCCCTTCACCCTCTGCGAAACAGGAAAGTGGATCTGTGTTACTCACGACAATTTGCCCAAGGGATGCAGACTCCAGGGTGCTTACAAGCGAAGGATTGGGGATGTATTCTACGGCGGCACCCACCACTGGTCGCGTGTCGACAATTAAATCATCCATTTTCTCCAGTCGAGAGATCACGCGATCTCTCAGCATCATAATTTCGGCTGCGAATTCTCTCCTCAGAAGAGAATCCACAAACTCGAGTGAGCTGGCTGTTTGAGTATCAAGGGTCTCAAACTGTCTCTTCTGCGACAGAAGCTTGTCTTTCTTGTCGCTTCGAATATCTTCCAACACTTGAATCATCTCTTTGCCGTGATTTGTAAGGATTTGTACCAGATTGGCGACCTTTGCATTCACTTCATTCTTCAGTGCGTCTACACGTCTATCGATTTCTGCCATTCGTCTATCCGCGTTCTCAATTCCCGTTCGAATCTGGCGACTTTTTTCACGGACGATGGCGGCCTTTTCTCTGATCTCGGCCTTGCCTCTGTCGCCTATTTCTTGAATGTCTTGTGTTGTGTGATACTCCTCGTCAACTATGTTGCACAAAGCGCACATGTACACATCGCAGTCGGGACAATAAAACTCAATACCTTCTAGGTCTTTTCGTTCGTGCTCGCAATAAATAGGACGTCTGTACAGCCTGTCGTAGTCGACGCTTTCAAACTCCTGCAGCTTGCGCTGCCGGTGTCTCTTCTTCACCGTCATCTGAGAGTGGGCATTCATACATGCCGAGCAAAGGTAAACGTCGCAGTCGAAACAGAACACTTCCAACATGGACATTTCTGCACAGTTGTCGCAAAGTCCTTGCTGTTCTTTCAACTTCTTAACCTTGCTAAGATCCAGGAGGCGATTCAGGTGGAGATTTGACGGCGACTCCGACACCTCGGAAGCTGGGCTCTCGACTGGTGCGGTCTCCTCTGTCAGGCAAATTGGACATCGAAATAGACGGTCGGACGCATCTTGACTCCACAGCTTCTCCAAACATTTGTAACAGAAACTATGCAAACAGACGGACAGTCGAGGATCCTTGAAAACGTCGGAACACTGTGGACACGTTATCGAGGATTCAAGGTTTTTAAGTATATTATCCACTGTGTTGTCAG